AAAAAAGGCGGGCAAATTTTATATAAATTGTTAGCGGGGGTCGCAAAAAGTTTAGAAAAAAATCAGGAAGAACCAGCCAATTTCTATCTCCAAAAAGTGGAAGTCAACCAAGGAAAAATCCAAAAAAGGGTCATTTATCGAGCCAAAGGCCGCACTAACCGGATAAGAAAGAGATATAGTTTGATTAATTTGTATTTGGGTAAAAAAGAAGCGGCTGCTGATACAAAAACACTAAAATAAGTAATATAAATATAATAATAACAAAATTATCATGAATAAAATCAATGATACCTATCAATGCGCTCAATGTAAGAGGGATTTTTCGGCTCAAGATGTTTATCGAATTGGAATAAAAAATAAGCAATTTTTTTGCCGCGAGTGTGCTAAAAATATCAAAAGCGAGTGTATGTGGTGCAGTAAAGAGTTGGAGAAAAAAGAATGAAAAAGAATACACGGATATGAAATTAAATCAGAGGAGGGAAAACTAACCGAAACCATTGACTATTACGACTATAGGGGAGAGAAACATCATAAGTATTACTTAATTTGTCCGGAGGAACTTCATGGTAAAGATTGAATTAAGTGTTGTCGAGGTCAATTTAATCGGTGATGAGTTGACAAAGTCAACCAAAAATATCAAAATCGAAAAGACCAGGGTTGAAAAAATTGTGCGGGCAAAGGAGTATACCATCGCGACCCAAAAACCGGAAAAGAAATATTTAATCTAGACTGCTACAAATTGGTTCCACCCGGACAAAGATATTGCGGCGACGATAGTTGCGTTTACTATACTGCGGTTTATAATGGCACCAATTCTGAGGAAAAGAAAAAAATAAGACAAAAGTGAGACCAGAGAAACCAAGAAAAATATCGTCGGGCTAATGAGTGGTGAAATTCATTGAGTTTAGCCGAAAAACGAGCCAAATTAAAAAAGGAAGAGGAACATTTAGAAAGTTTGGGATTACAACGACAAAGATGCTGGCTTGAAAGATTAGACCAAAATAGCATTTTGTTTGAAAATGGCAAAATCTATTACGATAATATGGATAAAATTCCTCCTTCATTTTTGCATGAATGAGGCTATCCTGGCTACCATTGAGAAAGTGTGCGAAAGAATGATAATAATAATTCCCATGTGCTCCAAGCAAAAGTGGAAATAAAAAAAGAAATAGACAAAAAAGAATCTTTGTTGGAACAAGCCAAAATAGATGGTGATAACGAGGCAGCGGCCAAATTAGAGCAGCAACTTCAAGAGTTAAACGAACAACAAAAAAATAACTCTACTACTGAAAATTCAGAAAATCCCAATGAGAATAAGATAATCGCTTATTCAATTATCGGACTTTCACTGATGACTTTTATTGGACTGATTATTGTCTTAGCAAAGTCCAGAAAAAAAAATCCTAAAATTAAATAATAATGGCACAGAAAGCAAGTCCGTATGCAATGCGTTTAGGTTATAACCAAGTTTGAAATAGTTATTTTTTTCCGGAAAATAAGCAAGACCAAATTAATTGAGCAATAAAGGATCTATCAATACGTAATTATCTATACTCGCTCCTTCCGGATATCGTTCGATTAGAAACTTATTACACTAAAAACAGCATTCTTATTCGCCCTCACCTAACGGAAGCCGAAATTATCCTATTACTAGACAAAAATAATTCTAGACTGGAAACAGTGCTAAAAGGTATTTATAAAATAGTTAATGATGAAAAAATTTCTGTCAAAGTAGATCTGAAAAAAGTAAAAAAAATTTACGCACACGCCCAGTCAATCGCTAATTTAATTTCTGGTCAACTAAAAAAATGGATTCCGGTGAAACAAATTTTAAAAAATGTGTTAGCCAAAGTAGAGTATGAACCAGAAATTAAGGGTGGGGGTGTCGAAATGAAAGGTATTTTAAACAATACTGGTATTGCCCAAACTTTAAAGAGAAAATGAGGAAAATTGCCAACCAGCACCATGGATAGCAA